ATGGGTGCGCTGGCCGCAGCGGCGCCGGGGTCGGGTCTAGAGAGGCTGGTGTGCGCTCTGTGCACGTCCGGCTACAACGCGCGCGCGCCCCTGCATTACCTGGGACCTCTGCTCTCCAACCTTAGCCAGCAGCCAGCGGCGCGAGCCTACTTGCTGGACCCTGACAGGTAAGTTAAACTTCCACGAGGTTGGGGAAGGGCCAGGGAGGAGGACGGATGGCTATACATAGTCCTTCCCAACAGGTGCGTGATCCAGCGGCTGCTGCCCCTTACCCAATACTCAGACTCCTCGTTGCGCAGGGGCGGGGTGGTGGGGACCCTGCGGAACTGCTGCTTCGAGCACCGTGAGTGGTGGGGAGGGCATGGGTGTTACTGAGGTTGGGATTGGACTCTGCAGCACCTGAGGATCCAACCGACCCCATCCTTGTCTCCACTCCTAGGACACCACGAGTGGTTACTCGGGCCTGAAGTTGATATTCTCCCCTTCTTGTTACTACCTCTGGCTGGGCCTGAGGATTTTTCAGAGGAAGAGATGGCGCGTGAGTGCCCTGAGTGGGAACCTCAGGATTGGCCAGGCGGGAGAGGAGGCAGCAGAGGGAGAAGTAGAAGGAAATGTCCCAGAGGGAGTTGCTAAGTACAGGTGAGGCTTACACAGGCAGAGCCTGGACTAGCCACGCTTCCACTGGTGGCTGCCACTCTCCTCCCCTAGGGCTTCCTGTTGATCTCCAATACCTGTCACCAGACAAGCAGCGAGAGCCTGATGCTGACATCCGCAAGATGCTCATTGAAGCCATCATGCTGGTGAGTGGGGGTCCTGCTGTTATAGCCAGTCTGCAGCACACACACATTGACATCTGAGTAACTGCTACCATCTCCCCAGCTGACAGCCACTGCACCAGGTCGTCAGCAGGTGCGGGACCAGGGAGCATACCTGATCCTTCGAGAGCTGCACACCTGGGAGCCAGAGCCTGATGTGCAGATGGCCTGTGAGAAACTTATCCAGGTGGGTGCAGGGTTGGAGAAGCTGGGGAAGGGGTGGTCATAGCTGGGCACCTGCTCACCTGCCTGTTCTTTTGGCAGGTGCTTATTGGGGATGAACCAGACAGTGGCATGGAAAACCTGCTGGAAGTGCAGGTGCCTGAAGATGTGGAGCAGCAGTTACTGCAGCTAGACCACCAGGAACAGGAGGAGTTAGAACAGCGGCAGCAGGAGCTGGATGGAGAGTCAAGGGGAAAGAGGCCTGCAGCTACCTGAGGTCCCTGCTGCCTAATGCCAGCTCCAGAGCTGCCTCTGCCAGGCTTCCCATACTAGGCTTGCCTCCTGCCACTCTAATCCCCTTGATCAGAGGTGGTACCTTGCTTAGAAGCAGAGGTACACTCATGCTACAGTTTGCGCTAAGAGTTCTAGAATGAATGCCCAGTAAACATTGGAGGTTTGAGGGAATTCTTAACCTCATGTTCTGTTGCTACCAGTAAAAATGAAGGTTGTTGCACAGCTGAGCCAGAGCTAGCCAGACCTGTACCACAGCTTCCTCCATGTGAAGCAGATTGATGGCCAGGGAAGCCACCCTTTGCTTGTTCCCAGGCATTGTTGTGGGACTGGACAGAAAATATTGCAGTTTCTTATAGTTAAACAACAAAAACAAAAAAAACATCATTGCAGTCTCTGAGGAGCCAGCTGGAACTTCTAACTCCCAAAGGAACTGCATGGTCTGGGCATGGGCCAGTTCAGGTGTAAACAGTGCCCCATCCCTTGGGGTCTTCTAGGACCCAAGCCTGTCCTCGCTTCCTGTGTTCTATGTACCCTTTTGTTCTGTATTTTGTACTGGGGATCAAACTCGGGACCTTGGGTTTGTGAGGCAGGTGGCAGAAACACTGAGCTAAATCCCCGGCTTCTATTTCCCCTTTGTGATCAATCTCCATCTTGAACGTGGCCCTCATCCAGCCCTCAAATTAGGTCTGTTTCCTGGCCAATTTCCCGAGCCTCAGCTGTACTGAAAGACTTCCAGACCCTCCTGCTCCTAGGGTCTCTAGCCTACCTCTACAGAGAACTAGATGTGCCTACAGCTTTGCTCCATGTCTAAACCTTTTTCCCCAACCACCATCTTTACTTCTCAGAGCCTACTATAGGTCTCAGAGCAGCCTTCTCTGCTTTTCTTTTCTGGACCTGTGGTGTGTTCCTCCACCAATTCTGCAGTTGTCATGGCAGTTCACCCCAGTATGTTCCCTTCCTGAGCCTCTCATCAGACCTCACTGCCACCTGCTCATGGGGCTCTTGAGTGCTCTTGTGCTCCTCACAGATAGGCCCTACCAGGTTCCTGTGATCCTGATGAAGGCCTCAAGTTGTCTTGCTGGGAGTTTTCAGTACCCCATTCTACACCCTTGAATTTAGAAGACTGTCCCACCTGACAGTGCTTCACTGAGTTCCAGGTGTCCTCTTCCCCTGTGGGGCCTTGTTTGTTAGTTTTTTGGTCCTGGGATCAAACTCAGACCTTGTGCTTCTGAGGCAGGTGGAGGAACCACTGAGCTAAATCTCCAGCCCTGTTGCTGTGGACCCTTGTGACCTGCCCCATTAAAGATCTGGTGCTTTGGGCAGGGATGATGTGTGGCTTGATGTTTTCTCTGTCCTAGAACTCCAGGAGGTAGTGGTGGAGCCTCAGCCCAGGGAGGCATCTGCAGGCCTTCTCCCTGCAGAAGACAGCTGCACCCTTAGTTCCACAGAATAAACCTTTTATCTGCTTACACCACCCACCCTCCCTCAACTGACCAGGCACTTTCCTTAAGGCAAATAATGGCATACAGGCAGTGGCTGCCTGGAGAATGCTCTACTGGGCTGCCCAGCTTAGTGCCTCAGAGCTCCAGGCTGGTGGAACCCACTCCTTGTATAGTGCTGTCCTCTAGGGACCCAAGTCTGGGCCAAGGGTGCTGTTGGGAGCATCCTGACACTGGGCACCACAGATGGATCTCAGACCTAAAGCCCACGCTGTGTCATCCCTGGACCGTGGTTCCACTGCACTGAACCAGTAGTCAAGTGGAGGGGCCACTGTCTATCACTCCTCACCCATATGCCATACCAAGCACCAAGTCCAGAGCAGAAGGGTATGTGTGCCATAGGCAGTACCCAGCGTTGCAAAGCCACCTGGGGCAGGCCTAGATAGGCAGAAGGGCATCTAGAGCAGCCCCTGAAGTAGGTCTTGGCACTCTACTGGCAAGGCTGATGGCTGCAGCCTGCTTCTGCCCCCATCAACCACCTACACCTATGGCTTGTGACCATTGCCTCCAATGGTGCTGCTTTTGGAGAGGCCATCCTATTCACAGAAGCTAAAGGACAGGGTGGAGACATGGAGCAGAGGTTGGTTGGTCCTGAGCTCAGCTCTAGGAATCTGTGGTTATCCAGCAGAATGTTCTCACATTTCAGATCCCTCCTGGGGAAGTGGGGTTGGGGCTGGGTCCAAGTGGGCCTCTAGGTGGGCAGGCCATGAGGATACCCTTGCCATTGTACAATACCAGCATGGTGGCAATAGACCACCATGCTAACCAACTGTCAGAACAGCCTTCACGCCTCTTTCCCGTGCCAGGCAGCAGTGGTGGCCTGATACTGTTAACCAGTTCCAGCAGCAGGCTGCTGATGTCTCATACAGCTACATCTACTACCCAGCCCACCCCCACCCCCAGGAGGGGCTGGGCTAATGATGTACTGGTGAATGTCATGGATCTGGGCCTCAGGATAAGCTTGGCCCTTGGGCCACAGGGATGTCTGAAGAGGGGAATGCTTTGCTCACACCTTATAGCTTTCCTCAGATGATCCATGTCCCTGGTGTCTCTAAAGTTTTGGGGTCTCCGTTGTACCTTTAGGATCACACTCCACTCTGAGAGGTACACTGCTTGGCCTCCCAGACCTTCTGAAATCTGAGTGGAAGCCTTTCTGACCCCACAACCCTTGCATTCTTCATGTGCATAAAACTAACACCATGTGGGTGGCACCAAGCACTACCACCAGCTAGAGCAGTAGCCAGGCTTATTTCTTCACTGTATGGGTGGAATGCCTGGATTGCTGGGCACTGTGAGCCCAATCTGGAAGAACAAATTCTCTAGACAACTGCTACTCTGGAACATGGTACTCTGGGACTTTTACTAAAGTCTTTCACCTTTGCACTTTTGAGGCTGCAAAAGATGGAGTCCTGTTAGTTCTTGTGATGTCCTCAGGCTAACTTTTCTGTTGTCCTCTTCCAAAACACTTGGCTTTTTATTGATAACATTTTCAGCAATTAAGTTCTCCTCTGTTCCATCTTTGTAGGCCACAACTTTACTGGTGCATTTATTTATTGGTTTTTTGAGAGTCTCACTGTAGTTCAGACTGGCCTCAAACTCACACGATCCTCCTGTTTTAGCCTCCTGAGTGTTTGGATTAGAGTTTGGATGTACCACCATACCTGGCTCAAAACTTTTAAAATTATGCTGCTGGGCCTTTTGCTCTTAATCTTCAACATAAATCTGTCTAACCCCCCCACTCTCCCAGTAGCCATGCCACCACCTCAGCATTAGATGGTCTTGAAATTTCTTCCACGAGATTAGTGTGCAGCTCTTAATCTCAGTCTCAGGCAAAGTCTGGACTTGAGCAAAATGCAGACAATTTTCTGCCAAAGCATAATACACATGATCTGAAGTCTAGCAGCCATAGTCCAGGATTTCAGATCTGAATACAACAAAGCAGTACATTTACAGATGACAAAATTGAGACTCATTGGTGGCACAGTCCAGGCCTAAATATGTGAGCTCTCTGCTGTGACTCAGATGGGCCGAGGCCAATGGGCAGTCGTTCTGGGAGCATCCACAGGGGCCTGGTATAAGGGCCCAATGAGTCTGGAGACTTGCATTGTCCTGCACTGAGGTCCATAGGTGGATGTGGCCTACCTGTGCAGTAAAGACTTTGAAATAGGCCTGCCTGGGCTGGTCATCTGTGGTGGACCTTTAGCTTCCTGAATGCAAAGCTCCTGCTTAACAGTCCCTTGTTAAGCCACATACCTATTCTGGCCAATTGCCTGACATTAACTAGTCTATGGCTGACCTGGGGGTTAGAAAAAGACTTCTCCCTGGCATCTAATCTGAGTTGGTTACCTAGGACTTAGAAAGGCCAGGGTGGTATGAGAGGCCTGGTAAAGGTGGTTAAAGGTAGGTGGCTGTAAGAAGCTGCCACCTAGCCAGGCATGATGGTACACCCTTGTAATCCTAGCATTCTGGCATCTGAGGGTGGAAGATCACTGAATTTGAGGCCAGCCTTGGCTCCACAGTGAATTCAAGACCAGCCCGAACTACATAGTGAGGCCCTGTTTCAAACAAACAACAACAACAACAACAAAACAGGACTGGAGATTTAGCTCAGTGGCACTGCTCCTGTCTTGAGGGCATTAGAGCCTGAGTTCAATCCCTGGTACTGGAAAAAAACCCTAAAAAGTTAAAATTCTTTGGGCCCGGGATTTAGCTCAGTGGTTCCTCCACCTGCCACAAAAGCACAAGGTCCCAAGTTGGATCCCCAGTACCAAAACAAAACAATAAACAAACAAAAAACAACTACCACCTTCATAGTTAGGGAGCACAAGGGAAAATTGTATGGCCCCCACCAGGGATGGGCATGCTCTTGGCTACTATTGTCCAGCTTGGAAGTCCATGCTTCCCAGACAGACCCCCTTCTCTCACCTTCCTAATGGAAACCAGGATCCAGATGGAAACCGGTGGATTCTAAGCTGAGTCGTAACAGGTAGAACCTGTCATCAGCCTTGTCTGCCTTACTTGTGCACAGTCTTCATTATCCTCCTCTTTGTCCAGACCTTTATTAGACAATCAAATCCATGGAACTTCACTGAGCACTGTCATGTTCTGACTTTGTGCTAAACAATGCAATAAAAGTAAAAATAGAAGTTGTGATGCATGCTGGGGAGCTTGTGAACTTGGGGAGAGAAGAGGTAGTTACTGTGACTTTAGAGGGCCACAGGACCAGAAGGGCATGTTGGACTTTGGACATGGGTGGGGCCACTTCAGGCTTTAGGATGAGTAGTGTGCCATCCAGGTGTGACCTTGGAAAAGGGCTCTTTCTGAGCAATTTCTTTATTTTCTCCTGCCTACTGGGACCATCTTCCCATCTGGGCCTTGGGCCAGGCCTGTTGGAGACCAAGACCTATGTGCGTTTCCACCCTCCGTGTGTGTGCCCCTCCACCTTGTGTGTGTGTGTGCCCCTGATAGGAACTTTACACCCTCCCGGGGACATTCTAACCCCTCCCGGCGACATTCTGGCCATGCCCTACCTTATCTAGATAGACCAGCCTAGGTTAGGTAACCTAGCAACCGGGAAAGTCCCTGCTCATCCCTGCCTGCATAAAAGCTGCTGTGTGAGAAATAAAAATTGTCAAAATTTGACCACTAAAAGAGCTCTGTCTGGTTCTTGTCTTCCTGTGTCATTCCCGTTCCCGATCTGGGTGCTCCCCTTCTCAAGCCCTACTAATAACGAACCCCGCTGGCCGGGGCACAGGCCCCTTCTGTTGAGTGTCCCACTTTATTGATCACCTATGTCTGGTTTCTTTCTCTTGGGCTCTGGCCTTGTAGTAAAAACAGGCCCAAGTTTCTCAGAAAAAGAATCTTTTTTTTTTTTTTTTGGCACTGGGGATCAAACTCAGGACCTTGTGCTTACAAGGCAGCCATGGTGCCACTGAGCTAAATCTCCAGGCCCAGAAAAAGAATGTCTTGTCTTAGAGTTTTTAAAACCCCCCATATTGCCTCTTCAAACCTTAGCCTGCCTCCCTCCCTGCCAGGGCCTTACCCAGCAGCTTGATTTCAACATCTAATCAACACTGTTAGAACTGCCTGCCTAACCACTTCCTTGTCCTCAAATGGCACTTTCTTTCTTTCTTTTTTTGGCACTGGGAATCGAATTTGGGTCTTTGTGCTTGCAAGGTAGGCAGCAGAACCAGAGCTAAATCCCCAGCCCAAATGGCACTTTCACTTCTTAGGTTTCCAGAGTATCATCCACTCCTTTCTTTTTTTTGGTCATCAAACACATCCAGGTGGCTCTGGCTTGTTTAGCCCTGAACTCCCCCCCCCCTCTTGTGTGTGTCCTTCCCAACCTCACTTTCATAGACCCAAGCCACACCCCTTTTAATTATTTCCTTGTTTATGGATCTCTTTCAAGATTCTAATGACTCGCCTGTAGGGACCCGATTTTCTCGAATCTCATGCTATCTGCCAGTAAACTGGACCTCTATCTCTCATGGGCCTGCATATGTATACTTCGCCGAAGGGCCTGCTACCCAACATTTCTGCAGTACTTTCTGGGTGTTCAGTGTGTGTGTGTGTGTTTTATTTTTAATAAATTTTATTTTATCCCATTCACCCCTCAACCCCCTACCCTCTCTATGTACAAAAGCTTTTATTCCATTTTTTCCTCCTATTTTCACTTTTTTCTTGTCCCTTCTTTCCTTTTTTTCTCCTTCATTATTTGAGAGATACAGAGCATGACAATGCCGAGTGTGTGTCCTGGACTGTTGCACTTAGTGTGTGTTCCTGGACAGGTGCGTAACTGCAAATGCACATGCTTGCTGAGCATTTGGGAGCAAAAACGGGCCAAGCCTATGGCCAACGCGGAGTGCGCGCTGTGGCGTGTACGTGTGGGAGCGGGTGTGGAGGATCGTCAAGTATAGGCTTCTGTGTACTGGTAGACCAGGTCGTGTAAGAGTATGCCCCGGGGCAGAAACCCGAGCAGACGGGCCCCACGCCACCTCTTCCTTGCCCCGCCTCCGGTTTTGGCGGAGTTCGCGCCTGTCAGGTGCTGCGATTACCCGGTCGCGAGAGGAGAGGCGGAGCACTAGGAGGAGTCTGCGCAAGAAGGTGCACTGGGTTGTGGATGTGGGGAGGACACGCAGCGAGCGAGCAAGAGAGAGGGGGAGAGAGGCGGGAGAGAGAGAGGAGAAAGAGAGAGAGAGGGAAAGAGAGAGATTGGGGAGGGAAGGGGGAGGGACACACACACACACACACGCGCGCGCGCACACACACACACACACCTCCGACCAATGAGGAGGCGGGACCACGATGCACTTCGCCGGGTGGCGGTTGGCTAGAGCTTAGCGGAGGCGGGCTTGGTGTGAGTCCCCGCCCCTTCCAGGCTGCGGCTGGGCGAGAGGGCGGCGCCCGGTTCGCTGCGTTGTAGCTTCTCAGGTAAACGGCAGGCCGGAGCAAACCTTCAGACTCTGGGGAGACACCTCTCGCCTCTCGGGGAACCTGGGC